CGTAGTGGGAATTACCCTGTAAGTGAAGGGAACCCAAGGGACAAGCTGGTTCAGTGGTCTCATGGTGCAACTGGCATTGGTATCACCCTTTGCAAAGCATCAGAGGTAAGGGGTTTAATATCAGACTGAAATATTCCAAAGATATATTGTTACTGTCAGACAAAATTGGTTAGAGATAGGTGTCTGTAAACTCCTAAAATTTAAATGTCAAAAAGAAGTTGGCCTGATATCAGAGTAAAGTGATCTAGAAAGACTAGATGGGGAGACTAAAAAATTTTTGCCAAGCATGTATACAGTTTGTTAGCATGCAAATTGGGAAGAGCGTCTTTAGGGATTTCAATATTTACAATGTCAAAAAGTGGTTGTCTTTTGTGTCCCTGGAAAACGACAGAAATGAGCCCTAATCTTGCAAATTGAAAATGTTATGGTTCTCAAAGTGTGCGAACAATGTAAGGTTAATGATCTTCTTTCCTTGGTGTGTGCAGGTGTTACCAAATGACCGGGAATTCCGTGATGCTGCCATTGAGGCTGGGGAAGTTGTGTGGAAGAGTGGGTTGGTCCAGAAGGTAGGTCTTGCCGATGGTGCTGCTGGGAATGCTTATGCTTTTCTCTCCCTCTATCGTCTGACTGGAGAAAGCATATATGAAGATAGAGCAAAGGCATTTGCAACCTGCTTGTATCATGATCAAAGAAATGCGACAACTTCAAGTCCTTCTACTGGAGCAGATCATGCCTATTCTCTTTTCCAAGGACTAGCTGGGGTTGCTTGCCTATGGTTTGATTTGCTTGCACCTGAGAAGTCCAAATTTCCAGGTTATGAGATTTAGACTTTTTAGCTCAGAAGAGCTGGAATGTGAAACGTAGTGTTGCTTACCCTGCAACTTCTACGTTCAGCCCGGCAGCGATCTGAACAATGGAGAGAACTCTATATTCTTGAATAGACTACATATGATACTAACTTCGTGTATATAATAAGTTTATAGCATGACTCAAAACATCGTGTGACCGGGAAATCTCCTCATCTTATGTACAATTATGTCCTGGCAAACTTTCCCCCGCATGAAACTTCCCAATGCCAACGTAGCTTAACAACAATCTTTACCATGTTGTATTGGTAGCTGTAACTCTAGATTCGATCTCGACCTCTCTCAAAAGGCCATCACATCTTTTTTGACATGTTACTTAGATGATGGCTTTACTTATTGTGAATGCTACTCTTCTTAAAAATTTGTTGCGTTGTCCGTGATGTATTGCTTGCCCAAATTTCTGCTATCTTAGCCTCTGGTATGTGGCATGATTTGCAAGAAATGGAGTTTGATCCATTGAACTGAAGCTTACGTGCTTCAATTGTAAATGTGGATCCTTATTGTAACATAAACTGTGTAGATGAATACATCCTACAACAGACATGCCTCGGACAAAAATGTCAAGTAAGCCAACCAAGATTGCTGTCTGAGATGCACTTAACATTTGGCCCAGCTATCGATGGTAGGTACCCTGGAGGTTCCCTCCTCCTTCAACACTGAATGATTGCCTTGACAGGAAAAGTCTCCATTCCTTGCAAGTTGCTGCGGTCCCCATTCGTCCTCATGCCTGCTGCCACCAAAGAAAAAGAAATAGCGGATGCTAGAAGCAATCAAGGAACCATCTTGGTGGAAATTCCAGGACAAGTAATTATTATTACTTGAGCAAATCAAGCTATGGATTGCTCGTTTATGCACAGCTTTTTATTGGTTGTTGTAGTTTGACTTGTGTTCTTATCCTCCTTTTTGTATTCATCAGCCTCTCAAACGTGGAAAAAGATGGGGTGATTTGTGAAAGGGGAATGTAGTCCCGCACAAGAGCATAAAGACAATTTGCATTAAATTGTTAAGACAAATTTCCCCCCGTGTTGGTTCCCTGTCATAATTCACTTTCCAGTCTGAGAAATGAGATTCAATGGCGTTTGCATTTCTTGATGGGAGCGTTAATGGTGGGATGGATTCAAAGGTCCTCCTCGCAGGTTAGCGGCTGAAACATCTCTCCGTGAAAATTGATTCCCATTTTCGATTGTGTTGTCATGCTCACATGTAGTAAGTAGTCTCATTTTTGCATGTAATCGTTGCATTTGAACTCCACCAGTGAGTGGATCGGATGAGCTTTAGGTTTGCAGTTTAGGCCTTGTTCTCGATTGATTGTTTTAGATTTTACAAAATCTGACGATAGAAACTGATTAGAGAATCAGCAAAAACTACTCTTTGGTTGATTATAGATTTTAATGTTTTCTAGTGATTAAAAATTTATAATCAGAATATAAAATCAATCGAGAGTATCACAAAAACTGATTAAAATCTTTGATCATTTAAAATAATTAACCGAGATCAAGTGCTAATTAGAAAAATAGTGAAACTCGGTTCTAGCTTGACTTTTATTGATCTTGATTGAATTAATCGGTTCTTGAGTAGACATGATCGGTTTAATTAACGTTCAGATTTATTAGAGGATTGAACTAGTGCTATGGTTGATTTACAGTCGGTCTAATTTTCAAAAGATTTCACGTTACCATGTGAGATCAATGCAACAAATCACGATTTGTTCAGATGACAACTTGTTCCATAGATAGCTCTTTTTTGAACCCCTATTTTAGGCGGGGTGAAAAATGATAATTAAACTAGTTTAATCTTATAAAAATTCATTAGTCGATAAGTGAAGGAGTGAACTCCTTTGCACTGTTCTATTCACGTTGAAGTTTAAATAGTCTGAGAATCAAATTCCAAGTCCACCACGTAGCCTAACTCTTGCGTTGTCTTCGTCATAGCCGTCCAAGTCGTTTTAAAATGTTAGCCAGCCCTCTTTTGTCCCTTCTTTCTCTTGTGAAAAGCAATCGAATTTGCGTCCGATTCCTCCTAAAGTGTAACCCATTCGAGAATTACGTGCTCCATGCATATACCGAGTACAAGTGTTGAGCAATAATATAAACTAGTTCTTAAGTCACAATTTGATTCGTTTGCAGTTAACAAAAAATATGATTATTAAAATTATTTTTTATAAAGTTTTTTATGGGTCAGATTCATTTGTGACGTAGATTATCGTCTTTATGACATAAATCATCGTATAGAAAGATGACGGACGTTGAATAGACTACGTGGGAATTAGAAGTTGGTGTGAGAAAATTGTAATTAGTGAATAATTTGAACACATAAGTGTGTGCTAATTCAAATAAATATCTGCTGATTGTGGAATTTTTGTTGAATAAATTGGGATAAATTTGTTGAATTTTTGCAATTGAGAGTAGATTAGAAATTTCAAAAAATGATATCGTGTGCTTACACCACACAGTAACACTCTCCCTTTATAAATCATATAAATATACTTTAGTGTTTCCCATTTGGTTCTTTACTTATTTGGGTGAAATATTTCGAACGTAAGAAAAATTTTCACGTATATATCTTGGTTGTAATTTCGATTTAGATCACTTCTTGTACGTTCTATTATTGATTTGTTAAAATGCGAGCTGCTGCTTCCATTTCCTTTTTATGTATACGTTGCATGTAATAATAATGTCTTTTTAACTCTTTAGATGAGATAAATCTTGCATTTAATATGATAATTATCAATGGATAATTAGGATTCTACATGATTATAATACATCTAAGGAAATGAACCAGTTGACAAAAATGATATGCATTGACAAAAAACCAGTTGACTACAAATGAACTTCTCTGTGCTGTCAAACTTCGATTGTCATTTAATATTTGTTTATTCTATGTCGACAAATTAAGGATTCATGAAGTAGCAATACCATATACAACTATTTTTTTTAATACCGTTTGAATTTTTTTACAAAGAAATTCTAAAAAAAAAAATTTTGGGTGTTAAAGGGTTTTACAAAGAAGTCTTTGAAGTTCTTTTTCCTTGAAGAGTTAGAAGTTCCCTTAGGAGAAAAAAAAATAAAATAGTTTGTTGAGACTTTTGATTGAGGAACTTAAGCCAACAAATGAAGATGAAATACACTGAAAAATGCCGGAAAATGAAATTGTCTAGCCAACTTTATTTTTAAAAAAAATAGAAGAGGGGTGGGGGGGGGGGGGGGGAATAAATTGTTCTTGGGCCAAGACAATGTACAACAAATAATGCGGCAAGTCGAAGTAATTAAATTTAGCCAATTCAACCTATCAAAAATACATACACAGAAATCTAGGAAGATTAGAGTAAGGACCACCAGAATTGTAGCCTTGCTATTCCTTGCATGATTGAAAACAACTTTTGCCATTGCCCTTGCTGTTATGCCACTTGGACTGATTCTCTCAGGACAATTCCTCTAGAAAAAGTTAGTGGCAAATTGCAAATGTCCATCATATATGTTTTCATTTCTTTTCTTGATGTGAATGCTGAAGCAAGAAACAGAATCAAGATTGTCAAAGACAAGGGCTTTAATTTATCTTCCAAACCCTCTAATATATTGTTCAAGGACTGAAAGATTTAGGGAATAAATTAAACAGTAAGATGACATTAATGGCGGAAAGTGAGGACAAGCATTCTTAAATATTAAGGTTCGTTCTTTGTTAGGATAACGGCCAATAAGATACCATACCAAGTTGTTGTTGACTCCTCCTCCTAGATATCCCAACCATTCAAAACTCGCCACGTGTAACCCCGCTCTCTCGGGAAACTCAATAAGCTGGGATGATGACTGATGATTCGTGCACCATAATGCCTACTTAAGTTCCAGTTTGTAAGACTAGGACACTTCATACACAGACATGCCAGTAATCCTACAGATAGAGATACCACATAAAAACACATTAGTTCTAGTGTTAGTTGGGAAAGAAATATAGTAATTCAATAGGGGAAGTTGTGCTTAGATTGTATACATGCTTAATTGATTGTTTGAGGCAAGTTATCGAGTTGATCAAACATAGGAGATGGACAGGTATGAGATTCTGAAAGATATAGGTTCTGGGAACTTTGGAGTAGCCAAGCTGGTGAAAGATATCTGGACTGGTGAGCTTTTTGCTGTCAAGTATATTGAGAGAGGTCAGAAGGTCTGATTCTTTTGATCTTTTCTGCAGCATATGTATTCTCAGTATGTGTTTATAGTTTTTGGTTATGGTATCAATCTCTCTCGGATTGTTCATATTGATTATTTTTTTGAAAATCCATTGTTGTTTGTTTTTATAGATTGATGAGCATGTGCAGAGGGAGATCATGAATCACAGGTCCTTAAACCATCCCAATATAGTTAGGTTCAAGGAGGTAATGAAGCTTTGCTTGTTTTTATCCCATTTGGTGGAATAGATTCTCCTCCTATGGTGTTTGCATATAAAAGAACATTTTGCTGAATTCTTTTGTTCTCTTTTAGATACTGAAGATAGTATTTATTATCATTGTCTTCTTCCCTGTAAGACTGTATGGGGGCTTTTGCTTCAGCTCCAGTCAGCAAGAAAATCAGGTTCAATTCCAGAGCCAAAGGCCTGTACCAAGCAGATGCTGGTTATGGACTTTCCACGGTCTAATGTTTGGATTTCGAGATTAAACTCCTGTCTCCGTAGCAATGAGCTCAGCAGTTGAATTGATATAGTTCAAAGCTTCAATCTTACCATAATTAACATGAAGTGGCTGGTTTGTCTGAAACCATTACTAGAAGGCCTTTGCCAAATCTATCAAAACGAGTTTAATAGTGTTATTTAGTTATATTTGGCTACTCGAAACATCTCCTAGCTGAACATACTGCATAGTGGTTACCTATCATTTTGTTTTTCAAAGATGTATGGTGACTATATTTGACTTGAGGTGAAGAGTCAAAGTCCTCTCTCTATCAGAGAACAGAATGCAGTGATTCTGATTTATTTGCATGCTATATCATTTGGTATTTTGAGCCAATTTTGAAACTTTGTGCAGGTCTTCCTCACACCAACTCATCTTGCCATCGTAATGGAGTATGCTGCTGGTGGGGAGCTTTTTGAAAGAATTTGCAATGCTGGTAGATTCAGCGAAGACGAGGTATCCTTAACTCCTAAAATATTTCTGATACTGGCAAACTTTCTTAGGATGATCCATATGCTTGGAAACTTACAGACTAGCTTCTAAAAGCTTTGATTTGATGCTCAACAAAATCAACTTATATGTTTCCACTTTCGGTTGTTTATGCTTTGCGCGCAGTTACCACTCTCACTATAATTGTCATTTATTTCAGGCAAGATTTTTCTTTCAACAACTTATATCAGGAGTTAGCTACTGCCATTCAGTGGTAAACTGAGACAAGAAGCCTTCCTTGTAATCAATAACTCATCCATTTAGTGCATAGACTTTTGTCCATCGCATGATATTACACAAACTTTTGTTCTGCTTACAGCAAATTTGCCATCGGGATCTTAAGCTGGAAAATACACTCTTAGATGGAAGCCCAGAACCACGTCTCAAAATATGTGATTTTGGCTATTCTAAAGTATTAACCCCTTCTATCTCATCATATCTCCCGCAGGCTATAATGCAGTGCCATTCAATTTAGTAGCTAACAAGAATGATTCATTATTTAGTCCTCAGTATTGCATTCCCAACCCAAATCTACAGTAGGAACGCCGGCCTATATTGCACCAGAGGTCTTTTGCAGAAAAAAGTATGATGGGAAGGTGAATAATTGACTGTTATCTTTTCTTGACTTTAGTTATCATTGTGAGCCTTAATTAAAACGATGGACTGACTTGTTAGCCATGGTCTATAAAGATTGCAGATGTTTGGTCATGTGGGGTTACCTTGTATGTGATGCTTGTTGGTGCTTATCCATTTGAAGATCCTGAGGATCCAAGAAATTTCAGAAAAACAATTAATGTAAGCGTTGCCATAACGAATTTTGAAATCATGCTAGTTGACTTCTCCATCTGCTTGTATAAAACATTATTGCTGTTTGGATTTTTTGCAGAAAATTCTGAGCGTTCAATATTCAATTCCTGATTATGTTCGAGTCTCCAGGGACTGCAAACACCTTCTGTCTCGAATATTTGTAGCTGACCCTGAAAAGGTCAAAGTCTAGACCCTTATTCTCACCTTTACATGTTAATTATTTCTGGTTTGATGGAAGGGTAGTAAGTAACCGGATCAAACACCTGCAGAGAATAACCATTCCAGAAATCAAGAAGCATCCGTGGTTTTTAAAGAATTTGACTGTGGAATTTGTGGAAGGAGAACAAGCCAGCATTCAAGTGAACAGTGCAGCCAACTATTCTCAAAGTAATGAAGAGGTGTTGGCTATAATACAAGAGGCGACGAAATCGACAGAGGGGCCTGGAGTTGGAGAAAATTTCATTGGAGGCAGCATGGATCTAGATGATATTGATGCTGATTGTGATATAGATGATATAGAGACAAGCGGAGAGTTTGTTTGTGCATTATGAATGCTACTTCTCCATAACAGTGAATTTTGAATTGTCATCTAAAATGTGAAAACTGCATATCAGAGCTAGTCTTTCAGGGGCTGTTTTAGTCAGTCAATCGTTTTATGTTTCTGGATCTTGCTGTATAACTAATCTTCACTCCTGAAGTCCTTTTCAAACGATTTGGAAAACCATAGGTCGTTGTAAGATATTGCATTCAATTGGCTTTCTGGTATGACATAAGGATTCCACAATTGTCTCTGTCATTGCTGTAGATTTCAGATAATTATATATATCATCCGATGCAAGACTTTTACTGAAGCAGCTTGGAAGCAATCATTAAATCAGGTGGATGCATACATTATTGTTAAACAAAATTTGTCGGTAAAAATATACTGAGAAAAGCAGAAACACGCCCCTTAAGTTGATTGGTTGTGATGATTATCTTTATCATTCAAGTTATATCCTCTTCTGCTGACGAATTTTACGCCTATAAACAGCTTACAAAACAAAGATTTTAGGTTCTTCTTTGGAACAGTAAATGATTTGGACATAAAACTTGAATCAAGCGAGACAAAGATATGCATCTGTATTGTAGCCACTGACTTTGCTAGCCCTTTTAATAATTAGGTAGAAAGAGTGATGAAGTACAACTCTCGTCTTAGGCATGTTAGAAGCTCCATCAGGGTCCAGTGAGGCATTTTGTCCATCAGCCATGCACTTAGTCGTTTTGCAGAGAAATTAAGCTAATATTGGGATTAGCTAAATCCACCACTCAATTGAATGATTGATGGATGAGACTTCTTAAAATTGGAAGGAAGGGATGAGATTTCCATGGTCTTTTATATTCACTTGCAAACCTATTGATTGTCAACGGATGTTGTCAGGATTAACCACTGAGTTTTGACACCAGCAATTGCAATCGAACTGTGTAATCATAGTTTAGGATCATATTGAAAGGGTTGAAATTGTGCCACGTTCTTCGATATTGATTTTTAATCGTCGATCGTATGACGTGATTATAGCCAATTTACATTGGCCACCTGCCACTATAATGGAGAAGATTTTATTATTCAAGTTTAAAATGCAAGATAGAGGCATTGGACTGATCATGACAAACCATATTTAATTATTTATTCCTTTGTTTGAGATGTGATTTATTTTGTAGGTGAAGGGGCTTGAGCTTCCACACTCACAAAGAAAAAATATGGAAGGAATCGAATTCGAGATCACTCCTTACATTCTCTTCTGAACCATCCAAACTATCTCACTTACACTAAAAAGAAGGCATAAAAATAAATAAATAAAAAGGTTTAAGCAAAGGGGCTTAAGCATCCATTGGATATAAATCAAGCTCGAGTTCCGGAAATTCTATCTAAGGCAAAGTTCTGGAATACTATGTAACCTAGGTAATATTAACGGGCCTCCACAACAGCCCAAAATTTTAGTCAACGATTTCATCCATTTCTCTAAGTTAAAAAAAAAAGAGTAGATTTTGTTTAAAAACTTCTACAATCACCCCCTCTTAAAAAGTAGGTAATTAGGTTATAACTTATAACTTTCTTTAATCTAATATTGCTGAAAAAATAGATTGTAAATGACATAATATTTTTTGGTATAAGATTGTAAGCGTAAAATAATTATCTTTTTATTTTGAAGTATATTTGTAGGAGACAATTTCAATAACCTTAAAAAAGCTAAATTTGACAAAAGTGTGTTTAAATATAAAAAGTTAAAATGAACTCAAAAAAATTGCACCTTCAGGCCCATCAGGCCCAATATCCCATTTTTAAGCCCAACTTCTTTTATCCAGTGTTCAGTTTGACGAAATCCGAACACTTCGATCAAAAAGCTTAAAAATTCTTACGTCGGCCCAGTCACAAAACCCTACATCCCTTCCGCCTCTCACTCATATATAAATGCCTCAACGCCCCATCCCGAAACCCTAATCAGCAGAGTGAGGCACAGAGCATTTTTAGAGAGAGAAAGAAGACAGAACATTTCTTCTCTACGGCAGCCTCCACTCGTTTGCTTCAATCATGAAGGTTCTTCTTCTTCTTCTTCTTCCTCTAAACCCTAATTCTTATCTTTCCCTTTATCTCGTGCTCTCTTACGCTTGAACAATTAAAAAAAGGAATGAGTTTTCTGTTATTAGTTTCGAATTTTTATTCCTTTGTTTTGTTTTGGTGATTGCAGTTCAACATCGCGAATCCCACCACAGGATGCCAGAAAAAGCTTGAAATTGACGATGACCAAAAACTGTACGCCTCCTTTTTGTTGTTCTAGTGCATTTTTTTACTGTTTATTAAGGGGATTTGTTATATTCTAGTTGATTTCAATTGCGCCGAAGTGATTGCGTAGTGCATTTGTTTTTAGGTAATTTAGCTGAGTGGCCGTATCAATTTTTAGAATTGTTATCCTGTGATTTCTGTATTGAGTTTTATAACTTAATATGATTGGCTTATTGGGAGGAATGTCTCCTCATATTGGAGTTAATTGGTCATTTCATCTGCGATTGGCTTACTGTAAAAAAATTTAAACGATGTGAACATGAACATTTTAATAATTATGAGCTCTTTTTTGGGTAGGGCATTATTAGCTGCACTCTAGTCGGATTTGAGTTTCGAAAAGTATTAGCTGGAGAAGTTCTTGGTTGTGGAATTGTTGCTGAAACAAAGTAAAGTTGAATTATATATGCCTGGGTATGAGGATGCTGAGGTTGTAAATTGGAACAATTTGCTTCTAGTTGTGTTTTTAAGTTTCTTATGGGAATTATTATGGTAGAAATAGCCATGGGGCCCCTTTTAACATGGTTTGGTGATTGTTTAAGTATTGTACTTGGTGTAGTTACAAGGCACTCTCTTAAGTTTCCAATTGGTCTTGTTACGTGTGGGTAACTGTTTGTTTTCATTGATATGGAAATTGCTTTCGCCTTCCTATTATGTTTTCGAACGGTGATGATATTTATGGTTATGAGATTAGATGCTTGCAACTTTTGGTGATAGCTGGGTTATGGTTATTAGATTGGATGGTTGCAGCCCTTCCTGATTGGAGCTATTCTGTTTGAACTGGATGAATTTATTGTTGCTTTTACTTTTACTGCAAATTACTTGGCTTGATATGCTTAATTCTACTTTTAACAAAAGGACCCCTGCTGATTTCACAACTTTCTTGTTCAATAATTAGTCGCATATTTTGGGACAAGAGGATCTCACAGGAAGTCAGTGGCGATGCCCTTGGCGATGTATGTATCTTGTTAGCAGTCTTTTAGTCATTTTCTGTTGTTACATTTGCATCACTGTGCAGAAACATGAACATAACTTGTTTGTATTTTGCAGGAGTTCAAGGGGTATGTGTTCAAGATAATGGGTGGATGTGACAAGCAGGGTTTTCCCATGAAACAGGGAGTTTTGACTCCTGGGCGTGTCCGTCTCTTGCTTCATAGAGGTCAGAATCTCCATGAGAAAAAAGATGATCAAACAGGCATTATTGCAATTTGTAGTCACTTGATGAATTGTATATTTAACTTGATCAGGCACCCCATGCTTCCGTGGTTATGGGAGGAGAAATGGCGAGCGTAGGAGGAAGTCTGTTCGTGGATGTATTGTTAGCCCCGACCTCTCTGTCCTGAACTTGGTCATTGTCAAGAAGGGTGAAAATGACCTGCCTGGACTCACTGATATTGAGAAGCCAAGGATGAGAGGTCCAAAGAGGGCTTCGAAAATCAGAAAGCTCTTCAATCTGTCAAAAGAAGATGATGTCAGAAAGTATGTCAATACATACAGGAGGACTTTCACAACAAAGGCTGGTGAGTTTTTGATTTACTGTTATCTTTTCCTCCTTTTATTCCTTCTTCAAGTTGAAAGCAGATATACTCTAGTGCGGATTGTTGCTGAGTTTGTATCAATGTTTATATCGACAGGTAAAAAGGTTAGCAAAGCTCCCAAGATTCAGAGGTTGGTTACCCCATTGACACTCCAGAGAAAGAGAGCAAGAATTGCTCAGAAGAAGAAGAGAATTGCAAAGGCTAAGTCTGAAGCAGCTGAGTATCAGAAGCTTCTTGCTACCAGGCTGAAGGAGCAGCGTGAAAGAAGAAGTGAGAGTTTGGCTAAGAAGAGGTCAAGGCTATCTGCAGCCTCGAAACCCTCTATTGCTGCTTAAGTTATGAGGATGCGGTCCTCATTTTTTGGCTATGATGCTTTCTATATTCCTTGAGTTACTATCTGGCAAATGTTTGGAGAATTTTGACTGCAATTTAGGTGTGTAGTATGATTGACTTTGGATTTATGTTTTAAAGATTTTCGGGTTCCGGACAGAGTTTTTATTGGGTTTGACGATTTAGTTAATTATAATTACAACTTCGTTTATTCAACTTCCTCTCAGAAAGATGAGTTAGTGTGACAAATATTATCGTTTGCAGCATACCAAAGGAGTTTTTAACTTGAAAAATTCTGTTGATGTAAACATTTAGCTCCTAGTTGGATTAGAAGGATAGTATGAGTTTCAGATGTAGGTCCCAATGCATCAACTGTCGAGTTGGAAAAAGTATCATGCACTCGTTGTTATGAGACGGAAATTTTAGTCTGCTTAAGTCACTGATTAAAGGGAGTGGCAGTAACAATGGCATGGAAGATGGAGCAGGGAAATCCTCGATGTTGCTGCTTTTGTTGGAACACGAGGGAATGCTGGGTTTCGTTGATGCATTGTCCTAGTAATTTACAGTAGAGCGTACATTCCTTAGTGAATGGAAGAAGGGTAGGTTGCAGAACTTGTCTAAACCCCATCCTTCCAAAGCAGTTTTGGGTTTGTTTCTTTTTGTCGGCAGTGTTTCTTTTTGCCAATTGACCGAGTCTGGCTAGTTCTGCGGCTTTGTTATGGTTGCCACGAGTGCGTCTAGGGAAGTAGGAATATTTGTCAAGGCTTCTGTAATTGATTTCTTCCGCAGAGGACTCATTGGTAAGTGATACGAGAGCTTGTGTATTGCAGCCTAAGTTGCGAACTCGAATTTGTTAACGTTGAACATTTTATTTTCTAATTGAATTTCCTAGTATACGAAAAAGTGAAAAGGGCTTCTCGTGGCATTGGTAAAACTTTGCTTTCTCCAATTGAAATTTCCTGGTCTATGAAAAAGTGATAAGGCTTCTTGTCTCTTTTGATTGGACAAAAAATTTCGGGCAAATTATCGAATTGGCCCTTAAACTCTTTGTCTAAGTAAAAATAAGCCCCTCATCTATTTTTTGCTGACTTTAAGCCC